TTAGCAAACATGAAAGACCTAACAATCGCAATACCTCCAATTGGTAAGAGACGCAAATCGTCACCCAGAAAGAGACCTTCCGATCACGAAATCCTTAATATGCTACGCAAAGATCTTTACTTGGCTTTTCGGCTATTTTGTCGACTTTCCACGCTTCCGGAAGGCAATGATCATTTTCCAAACGAAGAAGTCAGCATTCGAGGTCGATCACTGGTTTTAGAATTGATTCTCTCAATACTTGACAATTCCGGACCTGTTTTCCACTCTGATGAAATCTATGTTGAGTTAATCCGACAAGCTCTTTGCGTGTCATTATCAAAAAATGCTGTCTCATCTAACGAACAAATATTCGAGCTCTCTATTTCCAACTTTCTCATGTTATTGCGTTATTATCGCGCTTCATTAAAAACTGAATTGGAAATGTTTAGCGAAATGTATTTACGTATTCTGGACATGAGCAACGCCACCAGTCATCAAAAGGACCTGGTATTGCAAGGACTAATGAAAATTTGTCAAAAGCCTCAAATTTTACTGGACATCTATCTGAACTATGATTGTGATATTTCAATGGTCAGTGTGTTTGAGCGGATCGTGACTTCATTATCCAAGGTTTCTCAACTGCGCACAAAGACATCTGGTAAATCAGGTAGAGCGAGTCTTATTATGGGTAACAGCTCCTCTGGACTGGAAACTATAATCCTGCAGGATAAACAGTTAAAAGTGAAAGGTTTGAAATGCCTTGTGGACATTGTCAAGTCCCTGATTGAGTGGTGTAAGGATTTAGAACGAAAGAATGGCACCGATTCTCCGTCGCAACAATTACCACGAAACCAAACGCCAGATATCGTCGAGGATAAAACGCCAATAATTTTCTCAAAAAATCCTTTACTGAGTGTTAACTTTTCGACGATTCATTCTAACTCGAGTGGAAGTAGCATTGGCACCGTAGATAATGAAGAAAATCCTGCACAATATCATGAAATAATGTCACGCAAACAAACCTTACGAGACGGGGTCAAAATGTTTAATTCGAAACCACAGAAAGGTTTAAACTTCTTGATCCAACATGGTTTCTTGAGAGGAGACACGGACAGCATAATATCATTTCTTGTATCAACGTCTGGGTTAAACAAGGCATCGATAGGCGAATATTTAGGTGAAAGTGACCCTGAAGCTATCAAAATCATGCACGCATTCGTCGATCGTATGGATTTTACAGGATTGAAATTTGTGGATGCTTTGAGAACCTTTCTTCAGACATTTCGTCTTCCCGGAGAATCTCAGAAGATTGACCGCATTATGGAGAAATTTGCCGACCGTTATTGTGAGACGAATCCGGAAGTCTTTGCAAACGCTGATACTGCCTACATCCTCGCTTATTCCATCATCATTTTGAACACAGATCAACACTCCGCACAGGTCAAAAGACGTATGGATAGGTCCGAATTCATCAAAAATAATCGGGGCATAAATAATAATAATGATCTTTCTGAAGAATTTTTGGGCGATATTTTCGATGATATTGCAAATAACGAAATTGTGATGGAGGAGGAACAATTCTCGGAAGTGGCAAAAACTGCAATTAGTCATGCCAACGATCGTGAACGACAGGAGTTGTATGAGCGAGAGATTTTTCAAATGCAGAGAAAAAGTCAGGCCCTCTTAAGGAGCAATCGACAGGGACAAACTCCAGCCATTTGGCGAAGTGCTTCGCACGCTGACCATGTGAAACCCATGTTTGCGGTAGTGTGTTGGCCGCTAATGGCCACACTTAGTTTGGTATTTGAGGAAGCAGATAACCCCATGTCAAGTATTAACAACGTTAACAAAAGTGCTGAATTTGCTCAAGCAGACCAAGAAGCGATCGAACTTTGTCTTGAAGGATTTCTCGGCGCCGTTCGCATAAGCAGCATTTTTCGAATGGATGTTGAACGGGACGCTTTCGTGTCTTCTTTAGCCAAATTAACAGGATTAAATCACGTTGACGAAATGAGATCGAAACATGTTGCCGCCATAAAGACCTTGTTATCTGTAGCTAATTCATATGGTGAAGGGTTGCAATCATCGTGGCACATTGTTTTAAAGACAGTGTCAACCATAGAGAGCTACCAATTGATCGAAAGCTCCACAGGATCGGTAGTCTATTCTTCCGAAGGCGTCAGCGGACTAGATTATTCCTCACAAAATGGTCACAACATAACCAACTCTGTTTCCTCACTTCCAAATTTATCTGCCAGTCCACCTCGTCAAATCGCTCGCCGAGGCTCTCTTAGCGGTGTAATGAAAGAATTTCAGTCTCAAAGTACAATAATAGCCATTGATAAGATTTTTACGAACAGCATTAAATTAAGCGGTGATGCCATCGTTCATTTCTTTACGGCTCTTTGCGCTGTCTCTCTTGAAGAAGTCAACTCATCTAGATCTTCACCAAGAATGTATAGTCTGCAACGAATAGTTGAAATAGGTAAGTAGTAACATTTTTTAATTTCTTGTTCATTGCTGTTAGTGAAGCGAAAAAATATGAAAATCGGTTTTAAATCGCATATTTTTAGCGTATTACAACATGTCCCGTATTCGTTTTGAATGGACGCAGATATGGAAAATCCTTCAGCCTCATTTTATAACTGTCGGTTGTCACGCTAATCATATTGTTGCCGCTTTTGCCATCGACTCACTCCGACAGTTGAGTATGAAGTTTTTGGAAAGGGACGAATTGTCACATTACAGCACCCAGAGTGAATTCATGAAGCCCTTTGAACAGATTATCAAGAATAATCCTTCGGCAAACATACATGATCTCATAATACGAGCATTCATACAGATGATTTCCGCTCGCGCTAGAAATATCAAATCTGGTTGGAAGAGCATTTTTGTTGTTTTCGGACGCGCCGCGTCTGACGAAAATGCACAATTAGTAGAGACCACATTTGGCGTTGCTAAATTGGTATACCAGAAACATTTGGATCTTATTGGACCGGCATTTGTTGATTTTATTAATTGTTTAGTGGAGTTTGCGTTTAACGGCAAAGACGAGGAATTAATTAATGAATCAATCATGATGTTACAAGGATGCGTTAAAGTTTTGGTTAAGGACGCTGATAACGCCTTGAACAAAGCAGACAATAAGAAAGAATCAATTACCACGGAACAAGCTGCCTTGTCAAAAAGGAAACTGCAACACATCGAAGAAGAGCAATTCTTCTTAAAATGGTTTCCAGTAGTTTCCGGTCTCTCCAGATTGGTAATAGATTCAAAATCCCAGAATGTTCGAAATAAGGCATTGGAGGCGCTGTTTGACATTTTGAAATCCACTGGTCACTTATTTGAAATAAATTATTGGAACAAGATATTTCGAAATGTCATCCTTCCTATATTTGAGGATCTCAAGGAACCCACGTCAAAACAGTCGTCATCTGCT